CCTCCCCCCTGGAGTGCTTTCCCCCTTCCCCCCTGGAGTGCTTTCCCCTTCCCCCCTGGAGTGCTTTTTCAGAGTGGACTTGCTCACCAGCTCTGTCCTCAGAATCTGGCATCATCTCTGGGGAGCCTGGGGAGTTGTGGAGCAAGTGTGTTGTTTGATGCCACTTTCTAGGTATTGCTGCGAGCATGCATGCTGCAGAGATGATAGATTTGGAATTCGATATCATAGCTTTGTCAGTTTGCTCCTCAGAACCTAAAGTCACTGTCCATTGTTTTTGTTTTGTTTTTTTTTTTCTGTCCCATGAACTTGCACGAAGCTGTGAGGTAGAGAACTTACATGGAAATACCCACAGAAATGCCTGCCACTGCTGGGATTAGCCAGTATTATTTTGACATAAAGCAGTATTCTATGAAATTCTGTCTAGATGTTAGTAAGGCAGAGTTTTACTTTATTAGTATAAGGTGACGTCCTAGGTCAGAATGGCCACATGTAGTTTGCCTGTGTTTAAAATGAACCAGAGGCACAGCTTTAGCTTGAGAGTAAGCTGTGTTTTTGTATGTTTTGATACTTTCTTGTATTAAGTCTCTCTGCTCACCTGTCCTTGGGGTGGTTCCCACTTTTAGGCATCATCTTCAAAGGTATTCTCTCCCCAAGCCTGTCCAGTGAGCTCTCAAATTCCCTATTCAGCTGTCCTTTGAACATCCTCTTTCTTCCCCTTAGGAAGGAGCCAGTAAGATGAAACTGTTTCACACTGAACAAGAGATGCATAACTGAAATAACTCTTCAAAGAGTTTGTTAATCCCAGCCACTGACTGCTGAAAGCAGGGGACTAGCAGATTATGAAAATTTGTCATCTAGAGTGTTAGCCATTGAGCCTTGTGGGACATCAGCCTTATATTTGGGTCCTCTGATGCTCAGAACGTAACTGCGTAGTAGTTTGTGTGATGGATTTAAAAGGCTTTGTCATTTAAAGTCTTCGTATGGGAACAAACCAGCTCTTTGGGTATGAAAATGTCAAATTCAGACGTTCTGGTTTCTGGGTTTCCTGAAGAAAAGAACGACAATGTGTACATTTAGCCCATTTAATAAAGAATGTGGGCTGTGGTAAGATCGGAGTCACTGAGGGCATTTGGCCTTCCCTGGGCAGTTAGAGGGCCTCGTTGGAGTGGTTTAAGTGTGCGAACAGAAGTGCCGTTCTTATCTCCTCTGTAATGAAGAGGACAATCACTCTTTCTTGTTGCTGTCCTTGTTCAGCATGACAGTGGAGACACTTGGACCTTTGAAAGCTGCTTTCTACCGAGGATGGAGATGTGGTCACTCCCATTTAAGGTTTTATTTGCTTCAGAGAGTGGTAATTGAAAAACGAAATCCCCCAAGTCCTTCTGTACTTTCACCCTGTGTCTGTCATGCCGCCAGCTGCAGAAGACACTCCCTTCTGTAAGAGCAGCCCTTCTGTGACGGAGTAGTCAGTTCTTGCCTACATTTTCTTTACAATAAACTCAGGTTCAACAGTGTAACAAAACCGTACCCAAATGTCTGGTGTCTTTGAGTCCTTGGATAGTTCTTGGCTCTACCTGATGTGTTGTGACAGGGATTCAGTACGTTATTTGAAACAGAATGCATTCACCATTCACTGTATATGTTTGCTTATCTTCGTAAAGCTTTCTTTAGGCAATGGAAAGTTAAGATCAGAGTCCTTTTCTTTGATATTTAAACACTTGCTCTTTGAGAAGCAATAGAGAGCATATTCTTTTCAGAAATAATGTGTGGAAGTTTTGCACTCTTGATAATCTTTTTCTTTACTAGGCTGAACATTCCCAACACCTTTAGTGCATCATTAGTCTTGTGTATGAGCTTTGTGCGTGTGATACTGTCTCTAATGTCTAGTTCAGTTTTCTTATAGAAATTTTGAATAAAATGTTACCTTAAGAGCTCATAAATATGGACCCAGAAAAAACAAGCAAACAAAAATAATAGTTGATCTTTGCATCATATTCCTTGTATTCATTAGTTATTTGAAACGGGTCAGATTGACTGAGACATAGTGGCACATGTCTATAATCTTAGGACCGGGAAGGCTGGAGCAGCAGAGCTGAAAGTTCAAGCCATTGAGATACATCGTAAGAAACGGTTGCAGTATCCTCCCCTCATCCAAACAATCCGATTGGATTGCCGGCTAACACTTCGTGTGATTTCCCCATCCTTCACAGGCACAATTGTTTCTAATTGTACAGATTGATGTATTCAATGGGGCCATGGAATATCAGAATAGGATTACTAATAGGAAGTACAAACCTTACCTTGAAGATATGGGGTGGGAGAATGTTATGACCTTGTTAATTTGAGGTATAGAGCGATGTTTTAATTTTCAGAAACTTCTCAAAACTAAGGAATTTAATTAAAGTAGATGTGCTTTCTATCAATAAAGGCCAGCAAAAGTAACCTTTGTCACTTTTTTTCTATCATTTTAGAACATTTACTGAGCCTGAGCCTCTAGTATGTGTCAGAAAGACTATGAATAAAACCCATGAGAGCATTTGTCCCAGGAAAGGGATGGATGGGAGGTGGGCATCCCATTAACACGGCTTTTCGGTCTCATCTGCTGTGTGGTGACCTTTGTAAGGTCATCACAGCCTCATTAAGGAACCCTTTCTTGTTACTAGAAGCCTTAATATTCTTTGGGTTTGTATTCTTGAAATAGCATCCTCTGAAAGAGGAGGTTTTCTGAACTCCCAGCAGTGTGAGATTGCAGAGTTGATGTTCCCGTGCATTGTGTTACCTGCTTGGAGTGTTTCTCAAACTGTGCTGCACTTTAGTGATCCTGTCTGTGAAGGACAGGCAAGGGCGGAGGTGCTCTTTTCACTGTTACAGGAGCTCTGGAGGATGGCTCTCAGTGGGTTTGCTGCCTCGTGGGGCTCAGTCACTGACCTGGGCAGGGAGTGCGTTTTGTTCAGTCCTGATGATGCTCAGAGCAGAGTTCTGAGACCCACTTTCTGTGTCTGTGGAGGCTTTAAGTTTCAACAGTGCTTCTTAAACTGTAATATGCATATGAATCACTCGGAGATCCTGTTGAAATGCAGATTCTGTTTCTGTAGGTGTTCCCTGAGAAATTACCTCCATGCAGTGATTTAATCCAGTATGGTGCAGAGCCGTTGCAGAGGTGATACAACAGATCCAATCTGGAATTCTCAGCTCAATTTAAAACCCAGGCCCAGAAGCAAGAGGAGAGCCGTGGAGTAGGTTGATACCCTTATGATAAGATGCAGAGGGCGGGGCACTTAGCTCCGAGGTGGAGTGCTTGCCTACCTGCACTTGACCTTCATGCTACCTACTCCCTGTCTCCTGGCTCGTGGGTGCTGTGTTCACCTGTCCTTTCTTTCTTTCTTTTTTTGTGAGTCTTGCTATGTAGCCTGAGCTGGCCTTGTCTAGCTCTTTAACACCAGCCCTCCTACGTTGATGGCAAGCATCTGAAGACCAGAGCTGATACTGGGACCGAAATATCAATGTACTAAAGATTCGCTGGTCAGTATTGATATGGGACAAGCACACTGGGTATAGTTGTGACTTTGCAAGCCTGATGAGCCACAGTTATTATTTTTTTGTTTTTTGTTTGTTGTTTTCAAGACAGAGTTTTCTCTGTATAGACCAGGCTGTCCTGGAACTCAGAGACCCACCTGCCTCTGCCTCGTGAGTGCTGGGATTAAAGGCGTGTGACATCAACCCTTGGCCAGTCACAGGTTTTATTTGCTTTC